AGATCCTTTAATAACTGATTAAGCTTAGTGTGGTAGCAGTGTCTTTGCATAAAATGCCCCGGGCAGTGGAGGAGAACTACTAGCAGGGGAGATGGAAGAGGTTAATGACAATGCTGGGGAGATACAACATACTACAATAGAAGAGTTTTGTACAAGGATAACATATAATATATTGTTCCTGGATGTACCAGCTTGTCATTCATATGCGGTCCTGAGTGTCAGTGTATAGACCCCAACCGGCTTATTTAAGTGATGTAATCCATAGCAACGCACTAAAATTGAATTTACGTAAGAAAAATATAACATTTGGTTGGTTGTTATGACATTAAAGTAATTATGTGAAATTTAGGAATTTGCCAGGAGAATTTGGATTAAAAAGTCAGAACTGGGCTTCTATCCACCAAATACAATGGAGGTCTGAGACTAGTGATTATCCTGATGACTTCTAGAATGCAGAATGTGTTTCAACAATCTTCCTATGGGGCCACATCCCACGCTCAGGCGCCGTAACAGCCGCGTGGGCTGCTATGACTATATACCGATTAGTCATAACATTGTGACCACTGAGAGGTCAGTGAATAACATTGATTATCTGGTTACAATGGCTCCTGGATGTAGGTCAAATATATTAGGCAGCAAGTGAACATTTGCTCCCTGAAGTTGATGAGTTGGAAGCAGAAAAAATGGACAAGTGTAAGGATCTGAATGACTTTGACAGGGGCCAAATTTAGACGGCTAGACGACTGGGTCAGAGCAGCTCCAAAACTGTACCCGGTCTACAGTGGTCAGGACCTACCGAAAGTGGTCCAAGGAAGGAAAACCGGCAATAGGGTCATGGGTGGCCAAGACTCATTGATGCACATGGGGAACGTAGTAGTCCGATCCAATAGAAGAGCTACTGTAGCTCAGATGGCTTGGTGCTAGATACCACAGCATACCTTCAGAGGTCTAGTGAAGTCCATGCCTTAGCGAGTCAGGGCTGTTTGGCAGCAAAAGGGGGACCAATTTTTTATTAGGTGGGTGTAGTTATGCCATTAGGAGGTAACGGGTTAGTAGCGGTCAACTATAAGTTGACCGCTACTAACCCGTTACCTCCTAATGGGTTAACCTTTTCGTTTTTTGTATTAGTCTATTTTGGTCACGGATCGGACGAAGTAAGTCATTGTGTAAATCTAATCAGGGCAATTATAATCAGTCGGATCTCCAGGTAGGAACACAAACCCTTCTCTACAAGGGTGTAGTTATGCCCCTGTTTGTCCTTGAAGTCCATGTTTGCAGTTGTCTACTACCTGCAAATAAATAATGAATTCAGGAGGCTACCATTCTTTGTCCCTTCTCCTTTGTTTTCATAAAATACGCAGAAGTCAGACAGCAAACACCAAATTCTTCAACTGCAACTCTTATCAATGTCACCATTTCCCAAACACAGTCAACAAAACGTTAAGGTTTACGAGCACATAAAGCATTAAGTTGCACTGTTTATCTCAGCGGTGACTCCTGCACCTGCTTATATAACAGTATAGGGTAACAATATCTCTGTATGTAGAATCAGCTGTGCAAATAAGTCGTTCGGGGGTCTGAATAGAGGGACACGGAGGAGCCTTTGGCATGTAAATCGGCCCAGTATAGTTAAAGGCTTGTTCGCTCCATCACCAGCAAGATGCCACCTAGAAGCAATTCCATCACCGGGCAACAAATACCATTGTCAGGGCATTCAGAATGCAGCTATTTTGAGGGAAATCTGCTCTTCAAACACAGAGGAAAAAAGACATTGTCAGACAACACTGGCCTCCTGCGGGGTTATGATGTGGCTCACAAGAAAGGTTGATCCCTTGCTTTTCAGAAGTGTCTCACTCAGAGATTTCAAAGGTGGCTGAACTCTATTGATTTCCCCAACGCTCTCCTATACTCCATAAAATAATATATGTTTCTTAAAGAGAAGAGAATCTACACAGTTGTATACTGTCTGTGATACTTTTTTTTAATCTGCTGTATTAGTTACATTTTCAGGACAAGCCTTCGGTGGTCTACTCCCTTCTTCGTTGTCCAAGTAATGCTCCCTGAGGTAGACCCCAGAAAGCTTGTCCTGAAATTATATATACATACTGTATATATGTATGTATATATGCCATAACATTATGACCATCCACGTAATATTGATTAGATCCCCTTTTTGCCTTCAAAACAGCCCTGACCCATCAGGCCATGGACTCCACTAGACCTCTGAAAGTATGCTATGGTGTCTGACATGAAGCCGTTTGAGCTACTGGCTTTTGCCTCAGATAACACGGGCCAGCCTTCGATCCCGATGTGCATCAATGAGCCTTGGCCACCCATAACCCTAGCGCCGGTTCACCAGTTTTCCTTCCTTGGACTACTTTCGGTAGGACCTGACCAATGTAGACCGGAAACATCCCACAAGAGCTGCAGTTTTGGAGTTGCTCTGGCCCAATCTAGACATCACAATTTGGACCTTGTCACTGAAATCCTTACACTTGTCCATTTTTTCTGCTTGAAAGACATCAGCTTCAGTGACAAAATGTTCACTTGATACCTAATATACCCCCCGCACACTTCCAGGTGTCATTGTAATATGTCCCCTCACTTCCAGGTGCCATTGTAACCAAATAATCAATGTTATTCACTTCACCTCTCAGTGGTCATAACGTCTACTTAAAAATGTAATGTAATAATCAGGGGGTGCACCGATACTAGTATTGGTATCGGTGCCGATGCCGAGTATTTGGGCGAGTACTCGTACTCGCCCAAATGCTCCGATGCCTAGCCCGATACTTGAGCTTCAGGTATCAGTAAGCCGGGCAGTGAGTCATTACACGCTGCCCGGCTTTCTGATTGGCCGGGAAGCCAGCTCTATGCTCTCTCGTCACCTGTGACGTGGGAGCATGGAGCCGGCTTCATGGCCAATCAGGAAGCCGGGCGCCGCGTCATTACATGACTCCCGGCTTCCTGATTGGCCAGAAAACCTAGTGACGAGAAGCATGGAGACGGCATCCCTGCTAATTGGGAAGCCGGGTGGCAAGCCTTTACACGCCGCCCATCTTCCTGGCTAATCAGGAAGCCAGGTGGCGAGTCATTACACGCCGCCTGGCTTCCTTAATGGGACATCCGGTATTCGGCATCGGTGAGTTCCGAAAAAATATCGGTCCTCGATACCAAAAAACAGTTATCATTGCATCCCTAGTAATAAATGCACGTGACTCCTTATGTATTTCTCTTTTATTTTTGTTTTTGCGCCGTGATTAAAAAAAAAAAGTCAAAACTTTCCGTCCACTTCTCAGAAATTAATCAATCTTGTTTATTCATCTTTTTGACTTTATAATGTGATTGCAGGGTGTTATTTTTTCCTCTTTTCTCCCCTCTTGTGTTCCCGGCCTCTCCAAAAGAACACATTAATGATTCATTCGGTTGAGTTTTTCTCCTGCTGTTTTCTATTTGTTAGCGACATGCCGAGAGATTCACGGATTTATTTGTTGTCTTTGATAAATTGATTAGTCTTTTCGGATAGACAGTTTGATGTCGCTCTGAACTCGACTTATTTAACGGCCACAGAGAGCTAATGAAGATATTGTACCGAAAAAAAAGACTTGAAAAATGACTTTGCTACATCGAGATTCATCTGATGACCTTTTACAATGTTTAAGGCCAAAATTATGATAATGAGAAATCTTCTTTTTGAAGGTCAACATATTGTAATTATAAACTCCTTGTTGTGTTGCTCTGAGTGCCATGTTTTAAGGGAAACTCTACCTGTATCCTCAATACCAAATTGTAGTGCCTGGCTTGAAGGAGAACTATGAGGTGAGTGCTTTACCACTCTCCTCATAGTTCTAGCCGACCTGTGACAATGAGACTGTCACAGGTCGGCTCAGTAGATCGGGAAGTGAGCGAACACATACCAGCGTTCGCTCACCTCTCTATCCTGTCACGGCTCTCTGCCAAAATAAAGGATTCCCTTATATTTTCTGAGATATGCATGAATATAAATTAATGGGAAAAAATATATATATACCGTATTTGCCGGCGTATAAGACGACCCCCCACTTTTTGTGTAAAAATATAGGTTTTGGGCTATAATAGTATAGCCCAAAACAATGTTTAAATGCACTTACTAACCTCCTTGGCGGTATTCCCGAGTGTGGCTCGGGGTTAATTTTCAGTACCATAAGTGTTAACCCCG